GGCAGAGAGAGAGAAGAGGACAACAAACGAGGGGCTGTGACAAACTGTTTCGTCGGAGTTTCACCGACTCATCATATATATATATATATGACGATATATATATATATATATCGTCACAAACAGAACTGCCCGGTAAACCGTAGGCAGAGAGAGAGAAGAGGACAACAAACGAGGGGCTGTGACAAACTGTTTCGTCGGAGTTTCACCGACTCATCATATATATATATATATGACGATATATATATATATATATCGTCACAAACAGAACTGCCCGGTAAACCGTAGGCAGAGAGAGAGAAGAGGACAACAAACGAGGGGCTGTGACAAACTGTTTCGTCGGAGTTTCACCGACTCATCATATATATATATATATGACGATATATATATATATATATCGTCACAAACAGAACTGCCCGGTAAACCGTAGGCAGAGAGAGAGAAGAGGACAACAAACGAGGGGCTGTGACAAACTGTTTCGTCGGAGTTTCACCGACTCATCATATATATATATATATGACGATATATATATATATATATCGTCACAAACAGAACTGCCCGGTAAACCGTAGGCAGAGAGAGAGAAGAGGACAACAAACGAGGGGCTGTGACAAACTGTTTCGTCGGAGTTTCACCGACTCATCATATATATATATATATGACGATATATATATATATATATCGTCACAAACAGAACTGCCCGGTAAACCGTAGGCAGAGAGAGAGAAGAGGACAACAAACGAGGGGCTGTGACAAACTGTTTCGTCGGAGTTTCACCGACTCATCATATATATATATATATGACGATATATATATATATATATCGTCACAAACAGAACTGCCCGGTAAACCGTAGGCAGAGAGAGAGAAGAGGACAACAAACGAGGGGCTGTGACAAACTGTTTCGTCGGAGTTTCACCGACTCATCATATATATATATATATGACGATATATATATATATATATCGTCACAAACAGAACTGCCCGGTAAACCGTAGGCAGAGAGAGAGAAGAGGACAACAAACGAGGGGCTGTGACAAACTGTTTCGTCGGAGTTTCACCGACTCATCATATATATATATATATGACGATATATATATATATATATCGTCACAAACAGAACTGCCCGGTAAACCGTAGGCAGAGAGAGAGAAGAGGACAACAAACGAGGGGCTGTGACAAACTGTTTCGTCGGAGTTTCACCGACTCATCATATATATATATATATGACGATATATATATATATATATCGTCACAAACAGAACTGCCCGGTAAACCGTAGGCAGAGAGAGAGAAGAGGACAACAAACGAGGGGCTGTGACAAACTGTTTCGTCGGAGTTTCACCGACTCATCATATATATATATATATGACGATATATATATATATATATCGTCACAAACAGAACTGCCCGGTAAACCGTAGGCAGAGAGAGAGAAGAGGACAACAAACGAGGGGCTGTGACAAACTGTTTCGTCGGAGTTTCACCGACTCATCATATATATATATATATGACGATATATATATATATATATCGTCACAAACAGAACTGCCCGGTAAACCGTAGGCAGAGAGAGAGAAGAGGACAACAAACGAGGGGCTGTGACAAACTGTTTCGTCGGAGTTTCACCGACTCATCATATATATATATATATGACGATATATATATATATATATCGTCACAAACAGAACTGCCCGGTAAACCGTAGGCAGAGAGAGAGAAGAGGACAACAAACGAGGGGCTGTGACAAACTGTTTCGTCGGAGTTTCACCGACTCATCATATATATATATATATGACGATATATATATATATATATCGTCACAAACAGAACTGCCCGGTAAACCGTAGGCAGAGAGAGAGAAGAGGACAACAAACGAGGGGCTGTGACAAACTGTTTCGTCGGAGTTTCACCGACTCATCATATATATATATATATGACGATATATATATATATATATCGTCACAAACAGAACTGCCCGGTAAACCGTAGGCAGAGAGAGAGAAGAGGACAACAAACGAGGGGCTGTGACAAACTGTTTCGTCGGAGTTTCACCGACTCATCATATATATATATATATGACGATATATATATATATATATCGTCACAAACAGAACTGCCCGGTAAACCGTAGGCAGAGAGAGAGAAGAGGACAACAAACGAGGGGCTGTGACAAACTGTTTCGTCGGAGTTTCACCGACTCATCATATATATATATATATGACGATATATATATATATATATCGTCACAAACAGAACTGCCCGGTAAACCGTAGGCAGAGAGAGAGAAGAGGACAACAAACGAGGGGCTGTGACAAACTGTTTCGTCGGAGTTTCACCGACTCATCATATATATATATATATGACGATATATATATATATATATCGTCACAAACAGAACTGCCCGGTAAACCGTAGGCAGAGAGAGAGAAGAGGACAACAAACGAGGGGCTGTGACAAACTGTTTCGTCGGAGTTTCACCGACTCATCATATATATATATATATGACGATATATATATATATATATCGTCACAAACAGAACTGCCCGGTAAACCGTAGGCAGAGAGAGAGAAGAGGACAACAAACGAGGGGCTGTGACAAACTGTTTCGTCGGAGTTTCACCGACTCATCATATATATATATATATGACGATATATATATATATATATCGTCACAAACAGAACTGCCCGGTAAACCGTAGGCAGAGAGAGAGAAGAGGACAACAAACGAGGGGCTGTGACAAACTGTTTCGTCGGAGTTTCACCGACTCATCATATATATATATATATGACGATATATATATATATATATCGTCACAAACAGAACTGCCCGGTAAACCGTAGGCAGAGAGAGAGAAGAGGACAACAAACGAGGGGCTGTGACAAACTGTTTCGTCGGAGTTTCACCGACTCATCATATATATATATATATGACGATATATATATATATATATCGTCACAAACAGAACTGCCCGGTAAACCGTAGGCAGAGAGAGAGAAGAGGACAACAAACGAGGGGCTGTGACAAACTGTTTCGTCGGAGTTTCACCGACTCATCATATATATATATATATGACGATATATATATATATATGTGATGACCCGTCCAAACATGGACTGAAACACACAGCTGATTTCTGAGTTTTGCTCATAGACTGAATGCCTTGCTGAGTTTCCCGCCTGCTACTCAGTCTGTGTGTGCACGCTTGCTGGACTGCATGTCTGTCTGAGTGCTGGTTGGCATGAGTATGTGTGTGGCCCGTCAGGGCACTTGCTAGTTCATTGGGCCCTCAGGGCCGGTACTTACCTGTGGCCGTGACATTGAGGGGTTCCAGCGGGGAAAAGCACTCAAGTAGCGGTAGGCCGGTACCGCACCTGGAAGGGGTAGATGTGCAGGTACCGGAGGCCGAGCAGAAGAAGACAAAAGTGGCACTTTTAGAGGCCCAGTAGTGTAGGCTAGGTGTAGGCGGGTACCAGTCTGAGTCTAGGGCCTGTACGGGCAATATCAGAGTCTGCAATGATGTTTCCCTCCAAGAAGGAGGAGGTACCGGTTGCTTGGGAGGCCAAGCGGCCTGGAAGTCACCGCCCAAGAGGCAAAGCAGGCCACTATATCTTCGGGCCGGGCGGAGAGTCCGGCCTCTTTTCCGGTGTGCAAGTTTGGCGACACACTGGTGGAGCGCTGGCTGGAGCAGCGCTAAGCTGGAGCGCTGCTGGGGAGGAAGGAGAAGGACACGAGGGAGGAAGAAGGAAGGAAGCGGGAGGAGCGCCAGGGGTACTTACCTGGCTATGGTGGCAGCCATCTTCATCACCTTGGTGGGCGCTGCAGCAGGGAGTCCCCAACTGGGGAGGGCTACACCAAGAAGCTTCGAGGCAGGGTCAGGCATGGCGTCCTGAGCTAGAGCAGCCATAGCTGCTTTGGGTTGTCCTTTGGGCATGTGAGTAGAGCCTAGTAGTCCGCCATAGCCTCGGCCTATGAGAGTGAAGAGTGGGAGAGGCGGCCATGGCTATGGTGGACCTCAAGTGATACCTGCAGTAGAAGAGGAACTCGGATGTTGATTCTGGATCAGCCATTCAACATTGTATTATTATTTCTTGTATGAATAAGAGAAGGGGGAGATAGGGAGGAGGAGATTGTTGGGCGAAGAAGAAGAGCCTGGACATTTGTCTATCATCTTCTTCTTCTTTCTTCTTCTTCTTCTTCTTCTTCTTCTAGTCCTCTCTCTCCTCTCAAGTTCATTCATTTCTTTCTGCAATTGGAAGGCATTGTACTTTCTGATGGATGTGTATCTCGAAATTGGCCAGGATCATAACATATATATATCGTCAAACAGAGCTGCCCGGTAAACCGCGTGCAGAGAGGGAGAGGAGAACAACAAACGAGGGGCTATACATATCTCGTTTGTTGTCCTCTTCTCCCTCTCTGCCTACGGCTGACCGGGCAGCTCTTTTTGACTATATATATATATATATACAACAGTAATTATGCCAAAAGTTAGGTCCAATTCCTACAGTCCTACTAATGGATCCCAACCAATGTTTCCATTTTTCATTTTCTGTTACTCCGTGCTAGCTGGGGATAAGCAACCCGACTGGTTCCCTCCCAGAATATAAAGAGGGTGTTCTTTGAAAAAAAAAAAAAAAACACCGCAGGCTGATATATGGGGGTGGGTGGTACAGTGGGGGGGTTGGAGTGGATTGGAGCTACCTGGCTCCCTTTTTCTTCTTCCCTGGCTGCCTCTGCAAAACATGATTTTTAGCTGTACTTTCAGCCTTGGGCACTGGGCCTGGTGATGAGAATTTTCAAAAATATAGTTAAAGAAGCCTCATTCTCTCACATCCCATCTGTGTGCGTGGGCTATAGCCAACACGGGGAATGCTATTAAAAGATGTAGAAGGGACTTGGACGACAATGTACCGGTTTTCTGCTGCAAGGTTTTCAGTCACTTGAGGTCTTCAGACTTGAAAGTTTGACCTTTGTTTGGTTATAACATTGTCTTTGGCAGGCTGGACTATACAAGCATGAACAAGCCGCCTCCAGATGCAAGGGTCCTGACCGAACAGGAGTTCCAGAAGTATGCGACACTGTCCATGATTACATCATATGTTTTGCTCTCTAGTATTCTTTTTGATTCTGGTCATCAGTCTGGCAATCATTCCTGGACTCTTTCTTTGGCATGTTCCATCATTATCCATAATGTGAAAAGCCGTTTTTTGACAAGGCCCACAGACGCCCCATTGAGTCACTGCCATTTGTTTTGTTCCTCGTAGACCAAACAAGGCATCTTTGATGCCAATCTGGTGGATGAATGTCACATGAACTCCATTTTGGCTCAGTCTCATCTTTGTTATCATGTATTAACACAGTTCTCTTCACTTCCCCTGCTATGATCCTGGTTTCGGATGCTATGATCTGAAACTCAAGTTTGAGAGTGCCATCAATTGCAACTCAAGAAGCCGAATGAGTCAAAGAGGAGAGATGAATGAGGGAGGAAGAAAAGGAAGGAGAACCTTGATTTATATCAATGTCATCTACCTTCTCGACTGTGGGGCAGGCACTACTGAGAATACCCGGACCAGAAAGACGGGAAAACTACAGAATCCTTGGTATGACACAAGTGCACCACATTTTGCTTGCAAGAAACAAAATCCCATTTCGTCTCTCTCTCTCTCTCTCTCTCTCTCTCTCTCTCTCTCTCTCTCTCTCTCTCTCTCTCTCTCT